TCAGATGTCAGACTTGAAAAGACACCAAGGACTCATACGGGAGAGAAACCCTATGGTTGCGTCAGATGTGGGGAACTTTACACGTGGAAAAATCAGTTGACAAAACACAAGGAGTCATGCAGTGTAAAATCCATAATATAACTGAAACGTTCTGGGGAGAAGTTTTGTAAAATCACATCCCTAAAAACTCGTAATTTAAACTATTATAGATTAAGATAAGACTTTTCAGCAGTGTGTCAATTAATAACAGGAGCTCCATATTTACATATGCAACTTTAAAGTAATGTACACATGAATGCATCAGTAAAGGGGGTTTTATGCATAATAGTTTTACTGTAAGTGTATTTATTTTTATTTAAGTATATTTTAATAATTTAGTAAAAGATGGGAGTAATTCGTCCACCACTAAACAGTTCACATTACCTTAGTGTAAATTATACTACCATATTATACTACTATAAAATGTTAAATAAAAACTGGTTTTAAAAATTACATGAAAGTCCATTTGTATTTTAAAAACAGGTGAAATATTCTTACAGCACTGGCAGGTTTTTGTTTTTAAGCGAGGACATATTTTCTTAAAGGTCCAGTGTGTGACTTTTAGGAGGATTTATTGGCAGAAATTGATAATATAATATTCATGGGCTTTTATGAAATGGAAATACTCAAGTACAAGTGCCTCAGTATTGTGCTTATTTTTAGTTTGTACTTGAACTGCTACATGCTGCTAGCATGGCTGAAGAAAGCAATTTCTAATTGTAGCTTCTTGTCATGTTTCCACCACAAGAGACAAATGGTCTCAAATGGTTTTATTTTAGTATTTAAAGAAAAGTCTTAAAGTAAATACAATTGTGTTACAGAACTCAAGTCATCTCACAACCCCCCAGATGTATTTGCAACAGAGTGGACTTGACTCCTAGGTTAGAAACCACTGGACAATAGACTACAGATAATTTTTTTTTAAAGTAGCTCACCAGCAACGACAGTATAAAGCTGCTGATGCATCAGGATTAATAATGTAATATATCAGTCATAGGGGACAATTTCCTGCAGAACAAGCACTTTAAGTACATTTGCTGATGTTACCTCTTTACTTCAACTTTTAAATGAAGGACTTTTATTCGTAACATAATACAGTGTGGTAGTTTTAAAGGTCCAGTGTGTGGGATTTAGTGGCATTTAGTGGTGTAGTTGCAGATTGCAACCCCTCGGAGGACAGACTATGGTGGCTGTGAAAAACCAAATCCATTCTGGGCTACTGTAGAAACATAGTGGTTCAATGTGGTGGCCTCCATTGAAGAGGACCTGTGGCGTCTGTAGATAAGGCTCATTTTAAGATTTTAATACAACATAATTAATATATTCAGGTGATTATACACTAATGAAAACACACTTTTGAATATTATTCCATTTCTGCCAATAGATCCTCCTAAATGTTACACACTGGACCTTTAAGTGAGGGATCAGAGTACCTCTTCCACCACTGTACAGTTTTAATACACCAATCTACATCATCAAACCATATTTATGAGTGCATTTAAGTTAATAAAAACACATTCAAATTTGCATAGATCTTTATTTTTAGTAGAATCTATAATTGACATCAATTAAATAAAAAGAAGAAAAACAAGAGCAAAAAAATCTTTAAATTACAAGAAAATTACACTGCACCATTCATATAGTACAAAAATAGGCCTTATTTTAGAGTTATGTCCCATGTGAAGATAGTCATTCTTGTACATTATTCATAGGTCACAAATCTGTAAGGTACTGTGTGCAGCCACAGGCCAGGAACCTCACGAAGAGGCGGGAGGTGGTCAACAGAGTCGTCTGAGGCTGCTCCACTTAACCCCCAAAGTGTTTCATATATACTTAAACAAGCATGTGCACAAACAGACGCACGCAATTCTGATTCAGCCCTTAAGTTAATGGAGATGGGATACATTCTACCTCCTCCCTCCACAGCTGCTGAACATACAGGGTGTCACTGTAGATCTACAGGAAAGGCAGAGATGGCAGAATGATATCAACAAAACACTTTTAACGCAAGTGAAGGGGTCGATGGACTGCGACAATCTGAAAGCAACACGTCGTAACACTAAACAGACAGCATTAAAATGATTGTCTTTGGTTATGCCAAAGATATTGCTCCTATTAACTCCATCCGACTTCATATTGACCACTTCACACTACATCCTAAGGCAGGACTGAAGCAACATTGAGCTCCATGTTAAATAAATCAGCTGCATAAAGAAAAAAGCCTCCGACATTACCACGGGCGAGTCTTTTCTTTAAAGCCAGAGGAGACAATTTGCAAAGAACGCATTTTTCTCCTAACATTTCTGTTACTTTCTACATGAAACGGCTTCACACTTTAGTGCCAGTGAAGTGGTAGCCTTATGAGAACGAGCTGCTTTCCGACACAATTAGAGAAGCTCTTCTGTTTTTAGTGTGTAATTTCCATCACATTCTTGCAGTGAAAGAGTGAGATGGCCTGCTAATGGTTTTCAGCAGCTCCCTGTGCTTTGGAAGCACTAGCTACTTAATGCTGCCCGCATTCATGATTTTCTTAGAAGTTGAACACTCGAATTCACAAAGCTCTGAGTTTATCAGTTTAAAGTTTTCTGAGTTTTTCAAACTGTAGTGATTACAACATTAAGCTAAGATGAATAAATCATTTTGTGTGTGCCCTCGAGGGGGCCACAGCAACTTGTCTGAACACCCCAAAATGTTGCACTTCAGAGGAAGCTTTATTCTCTATGGAAGCAATATAAACCTTTTGGAAGGGAAGATGCATAATGGATAATGTTGACAAGACTGAGCATCAATTAGTCAATATGAATCGCAAACAAATTGGTCCACTTTATAGTTCTTCTAAAAATGCAAACTGAGCATTCAGAGTTTAAGAAAATAGTTTATGGAAGCAAATTTGTTGCCGCATTAGCCCATTATCTGTTGTTTACACACTAACACCAAGCTGGGAAGTCAATAAGATTCTGTGGCTCAAGTCTGAGGCTGGAGTTATTACATTTTTAAATTAGAACCCTCCTTAAACTGGGGCTAATCAAAGCCTCAATGGCAGTAGGCACTAATGTACATCGCACAAAGAGCGATGCAGCACACACTCGTTATTCTGCAGCCACATTAGCTTTGTTCCTTTAGAGGGCACTTTCTCTAAATCCATGCGCTCGGATTGGTTTCCAATCCAGTTTAGTGCTTCCTGGCTGAAACTGCCACAATAAGCCAAATGTGCAGCACCTGCACTGGCCATCTGAGATGAATTAAGCTTCCTGGCTCAGCGCTGTGTTTGAGAGCATACATACCAATCTTTCTCCATGCCTTTGAAGAGGCTGTTGTATTGGTTTGAAACTCTTCTTCTTCTCTGCTATTTTTATTTTTATTTTCTTCCCCTCTGAACACGCTTTTGCAATTTAAATCACATTCAGCTCTGCATATTTATGAATAAAACCTTCTGAGAAGGCTTTTCAACACAAGTGGTTAAATTAAAATCGATTTGTTTTGTGTGCTTGTGCATCTTCTCGCCCTCAAAAGAAAGGAAAGTGATTGTCGGTGACATGAACTTAAAAAACAAAAAGGTCTTCCCCTCTGATGGAGCCGCCCGGGTACTGAGTATGAGAGGTGAGGCAAAACAAACATCCCAAACAATTTTGAAAATGATTTAGTACATAACCGCTGGCCAACAAGATCTATGGACAATCCTTCTACCCATTTTATTTTCAATAACAGGTTTTAAAGCCCAGGTGTGCCTGCCCATGAATGCTGATCCTAAAGGCAATAAATTGTAGGAGCGATAGGAGGTTAGGAGACTAGAATTTACACAGCAGCTTTACAATTGCTTGTTTCTCTTCTAAAACATAAATTTGACTTACATGCCTATCCCCCTAAATCTTTCCCGAGAAGCGTTTTCATATCTCACCTACATATAATTTGACCTCTATAATCATTTAACAGCTCCTCTAACAGCGTATGAACCCTTGCTGAATGATATGAGAGGTAGATAAAAGGATGAGCAGCTGCAGTTTTGAATGCATGTCATCACCATGACAACCTCTCTCAGCAAGCTCCACTGTTTTTATACTGGAAATGAGAAAAAAAAATAATAATTTCAACATAGTAGAAAAAGAGATCAGTGGATTCAAAATGGCTACTCTGGATTAAATCACGAGATGCATATTTTAGATGATCACCAGCCCGGGAGAAAAATCACTTTAAAACAATCTTCCCTAAAGGTATGATTAAAATCTCTCAGAATAAATAGTTGCTGCAGTATCATTCAGAATATAATTAATTGGCAAGTACACTGAAGAGATAATATGAAATTCAGATTAGACGAAGACTGGAGGGTAAAAGCAGAGACACTGATGAGATGTGGAGTCTCAACGCAGGATTTCTAAACAGTATTCAAGATTTGAAGAAGACAGCAGAGACGAAGGAAACCTTCACTTCAGAGGGCTGATAAACATTTCTCCACTTCATATGCAGTAAACTGAGACACACACACACACACAAACAACGTTTCAGTCATTATGATATGAGGCGTGTGTAGTGCTAACGTGCTCTGACAAAAAGACAAAAGCATCGATGTGTTGTCACTGTCTGCTCTGTCAAGAAATCAATCATAGGTGACTCAACACCTGCCAGCTGATTTGAGAAGCTCTTGTGCTCAACGGTCACATATTGTTTTGGGTCCCATCAGCACCTCGGCCGCGTCTCTCTCAGCCCTGCGATTTGAGAACATCAGACACAGATAAATATCCCTGGAAGGGACTGTGCCTCGGGGTAGGTTGAATAGTCTGTGTGTGTTTTTTCTTTAATTCTATCTCTTTTTTTTTTATGTGATGGTTCCATGTGATGGATGTCCTACTACAAGTGCAGGAGAATTTATAGTTTCCAAACCGGAATAAATGAGAGTCCATCTTGAATCCCAAAAGGCGGAAGGAATCTTTGCTATTTGTGTGACTCACAGTTTGTTCTGCCAGAGCTGAGAGAGATCTCACCAGATTGAGTGCGCAATAGGAGAACTAAAGTCACACCTCGATCAATAACTGAACAGAAAAAACATTGTATGAGAGATGGATTTTCTTTCAAGTAAATAATCATAAATCATCATCATAAAGAGAAAGCTCTCAGACAGTCTGTTTTGCTTCTCTAATGGTTTATCATCGTGTGTCACCAGTCAAAGTCAGGGCATTTCCAACTATCAGGCTTTTAATTTGTGCATCTTTAAATGTGAATCGCCACAGATAAGTGGTGGTTTTCTGAACAGATTTTGGATGTTGATGTCACTTAACTACACTTGGGAGAGAATCAATGTTTCCAAATCCGATTTCATGCCTCATAATACAATTTTTTGTTATCACTTTAAAGTTAAAGTTAAAGTACTAAATGTGACAGGGCCAGCTTTAGCTTTCTCTATAAAGGGCACTACACTGTTCATCAGATTTAACACGCTCACATTCACACAGACACAGGCATTCAGACACACACACACACACACACACACACACACACACACACACATCTCTACTCCTCACATTCAACAATCTCGTCTGGCTACTGCACTGAGACTGATGGAAAGAGAAAAAAAAAGAGGAAGAAAGCAAATAATAATCATTTGTTTACTGTAACAAAAAGGAGCTGGAGGGGAAAATGGACTCTGCACAGACAGACACTGTTAGTGATTGAGGGCAAGAGGAGGGAGAGAGCCAGTTTAATAGAAATGCGCCCAAGTGTGAACAGAGCAAAGCTCGGGCCATCCCGAGCTCTGAGAGACAGCGGCTTCCTATCAGGTCCTCCCACACCAGAGTGGAAGAAGAGATCCTGAAGCAGAACTCAGATGAGATCCCAGTAAGACAGAGACAGAAAAAAGGGATGAGAGATAAAACCAGAAAAGACTGTGAAAGGACAGTTACCACAGCCCTGATTTATCAGACAAATGTGGGGGTGAGAGGATTTAAAAGCAGGAGAGAAGGAGGGATGTGGGGGAGGCATTAAAGAGCACTTTGTGTTTTGATAAAGGCAGTCTTCTCATTGTGGACGTCAAACTCTTCGTTTTCGGAGTCTGTGTTTACCTCTTCATCCCCCCACACTGTCGGGATGCCACGGTATGACACCACCCTATTTCCCCCCAGGTTGAAGCTGCCCCCGAGGCCGCCACCAGCCTCCAGAGAGGGCAGCTTAATGAGCGCGCCTGAGCGCAGCTGCAGCAGCAGGAAGATGCCAGCGAATGTGGCGATGATGGCTATGCAGCTGAGCACAGCGATGGTGATGGGCAGCCGGGAGCTCAGCTGGAGCTCCGATCCCGGGTGCCCCTGGCCCACCATGAAGCTGCCAGGGGATTCTCGCATGTACTGGTTGAGGTGCAGGCAGGTGCCAGAGATGGGGTCCAGGGAGCTGTGAGGGGGGCAGGACAGGCAGGCCCGAGGGCTGAGGCTGCTGCAGGTCAGGCAGGGCGGTGGGCAGGGCAGGCAGGCTGGGACGGAAGCTGGTGGTATCGAGTTTCCCACTGTGTAGTTGATGGGCTGGGAGCCCACTGAGAAGCCTGCTGGACATTCTTTCACACAACCCTGCTGAAAGAGGTAGTAGCCGGTGTCGCACTCTGTAACACAGAGAAACAAAACTGAAATAAACGGCTGCACGCACCTTTTACCTCTTCATATGAGTCAGACAACCTAAAAAACAGGGAACAAGGCTTCCTGCCCAGACAGTTGAGACTCAGATAACACAATGATGAAGCACAATAGGTCTAACATTTCTGCATTGATTTCAGCCAAGAGTTGTAGTAAAATGTTGAGACAAGGCAAATTTCAAGTTTCAAGGCAATTATGCTTTAAGGTTGCCATTTTCTCTTTTGTTATGCTACTTTTGCTCACTTAAAAAAAATCTGATGACAAAAAACTTTGAAATTTATATGCTGAGTGCAGCATGTTTAAGTCAACAAAACAATTTCCATATGCAGCAAGTCCAGATGCAGACCACTGCCTATAATGGCAATTAACAGACTGTGGGTGCTGGGGGTAACAGAGCTGAAACAGAGCTGAACATAGAAAACTACAGTTGTAAGCCGAGAGTCAGAGAGCACTGTGTACTACATGATACATGATAATCACAACATATGATAATTCAATACATGATAATTATATTCAGTTCACATCCTAATGATCCTGTGTATGATCTTGTCTGTCAGTGTGTACGTACCTCTGACAGCCTGTAGGGGTCAGACTGACAACATGTAGCTGGACTTGACACTATGTTGAGACCTTGCCTATAGCAGTATTTGGATTAGGTAGGAGATGGCAGTATGGACACCATTAAATTTAAATGAGATTATTAAAAAGGGACCTGGGGTGAAATTTAATTTGATCTCATCAGAAGTTAGATCTTCATTTAAAATGGATACTGATGCTAAGCTACATAATGGTGTTTGCAGGAAGAGTTTGAATAAGATAATCGAGCGACTTTCAAATACGTCTGTTCACTGTTGACGTAGAGAGACGCACAATGCAAACGGATGCAGCTGGGCACACATGGGATAATATTTCAACCCCGTTCACCTCACAACATCTAGGCTACTTCACATGTCACATCTCAACATGACTCAGTAATTACACTACCCCTCCTCGGCTGTTGTGACAGCAACTTCCTGTGAGGAACAAACTGGGGACGAGAGATACCAGACTTACCGATGCATATCTGCCTCAGGTCCAAGGTCTTGCAGCTGCCGTTGCCAGGCTGAGACGTGTCGGAGGAGCTGGAAGATGCTGAGCCAGTGCCATACAGCACCAGGATGAACTGGGTCAGAGTGCCTGAGCGGAGAGATAGAGACGGAGATAAAAACTGAAATTAACCCGGGAAGAAATGTAGGACTGTCAAAAACAGCAAGGCTCCGGCATTCCCCAGGGTGGATTTAGTAAATGTACCCTCTTCTCATTGTAGACAGTTGGATTTTCTGCATAAAGTGACAGAAAATGACTCCTTGAAATGAGTTGCAATTTAAAAGACAGCATGATTTCACTCTGTGCCTAATAAGAGTGTTATAAAGTGTATGTCTCAGAAGAATCATTCAAGTGTGAGGCCTTGTGAGAGGTTCCACTTTAGTAAATCTCTCCTTACTGAGGAGGTGTGAGACATTCATCTACATCTGTTTTCTGGGGTTTTCTTGGCTTCTGAATACTGTGTTGTGGGTGGACCTGCTTAATCCAGATGCAGACGATTGTCGGTGGATGATCCAAGGGCAAACAACCAGAGTGAAGTATTCACTCCTCTGCTTTATCATGCTCTCTGCTATAACAAAATGGATTGCTGCAGAGCTACACAGAGTCAGCCTCACAGCTCCTATAAAGAGAACAAGGGCACAGGAGCCACTTGATCTCTAATCTTTTGGCACTAAACCTTCAACCCTCGAGCTGAACTCTAGAATCAGCAGATTAATACATGTGTTGATTAACATTCAGACGAGGTGAGTGCAACACCTCCGGTTTAAATCCACCTAAGGACTTTAGTCCTGCACCTCTCTCTTCTCCTGTGTTTCCTGTCTTTATCTCTCCACTCAAACAAACATGTATAAAGTCACTGTAAATTAGTGCTCAAACTATTTGCTGATTAATAGATAAGTCGTTTTAATACTTTTTTGCTTCCAATAATTATTCTATCCAATAGTTATTTTTCACGTTTTCAACATAATATTGCCTTTACTTTGCATATGAGAATCAGAAGAATCTTCAAGATTTAGTATTCCGTTTTATGTTATTAGGGCTGGGGGTATATGAGTAATGCTTGTTTGGCTTTAAGTTTGTTTTTGTCTGGTTTTAAATGATGTTGGTTTCTTGCTTTTGTCTCTTAATTACGGTAATTCAATTATTAGTTAACTGAGAATTAACTGAAAACATTTTTTTTATCATTCAAATCATTTATCAAGCAAAACCACCAAACACCCCAGCTTCTTAAACGTAAGTAGTTGTTGCTTTTCTTTTCTTAATATAACTTAAAGGTTTTAGTTTAGTTTTAAAACAAGTAATAAGAGGATGTCTTATTGTGGTCCTTGGACGGGCATCTTTTACCATTTTCTGACATGTAACAAAGAATAAATTATTCCAAAAAGTAATTGACAGATTAATCAATAATTGTTAGTTACAGCCCTATCTCAAATAGACCAAAAAAAACAAACAAACAGATAAACTCCAAATCAAATCATTTTTTTTATCAATTTATTAAATATTTTTTTATTAAATCTGCTTGCAGCAATAATCCTGGGCAGACACAAATGTGTATTTTTATCCAGTGTGTATAAAGCTTTTCAGCTCCACCAAAAAATAGTGTGGGAACCAGCCAAGAAGAACTGCCATCCATTTTGGGGATAAGTACGCTTGAGAAAGGGCAGGTGTTTTTAAATCATAAATCATTTTTTCAAGGGCTATCAACTCATTGCATAATCCAGTTTGCCGTACAAAACACACAATTTTGCGGTCCTGGTGGTCATTTGGATTAATTCTAGATATGACCACACAAACATGTAGGCAAACCCACCATAATGTAAATTTCTTGAATATCTTAAAAACAACAAAGGTAATTTACCGTAGTCACTGGCACCAGCCACATTCTCAATCTCCAGCGTCCACGCCCCCCTGGGGTTCTCATCCCAGGAGTGGGTGGTCATGAAAGCCCAGTCATTAAAACCTTCTGACGAGTAGTCATGAGGCCTGCAGGAGAACGTCAAGCATGAGTGTCAACAGTTTGTATGCACCAACTTGTACTGCGCGCCCTGTGTGTTTGTATGTTTGTACCTGGGGTGGAGAAGCGTGGAGCGCGTCCCGGCAGGACTAATGAGGTGGATAGCCAGGTTTCCCCTCCGGTTGTAGGACAAGGTGAGCCGGGCCTGGACGTGCTCTAATGAGGTCACGTGACTGTCTGTGCCAATGCAGGCATCCACACTCATGTTAATAGATAAATGGCTGCCGATGTTCCTGTCAAACGTGAGAAATGACATGCAAAAAAGATACATTAAGACAGTGGTGTGCATTAGTTGTAGGTTGTTTGCTGCTGAAATCATTACTGGCTCCTTCTGAGCTTGAGATAAGCTACACTCCAGATAACTGTGTGAGTGTGACATTTTGCTCCTGGCCAGTGTGCGAGCCTTCGAAGGGTGAAGAGTTTGTGGCCTCGAACAGGATTAATGTCTCGCAACCTGTAGCACCAGTGTCCTCTGTGGAAGTAAAGCACCCACCTCTTTTTACTCCCCCCTAAATCCGCTTAGGAGATTACATGCATCCACAACAATTCTGAGGAGGAGGAAGGCACTGTGGTTTTAGTGACACCGAGGTTCCCAAATTATAGGCAAGATGTGGTGTGATCACTAACGTGTCGCGCTGTTTAAAGGCACAGTCCCTCCAGGTTCAGTCTGATACAGGTAATGTTTCATGCTGCATTAAAAAGGACAATTTAAATGCCTTTGACTTTTGCAGCAGCCTCAGCAGCCCTTTTCTAGACGTCAACAAGTCACACAATGACTAGTGTCCACAATATTATTATTATTATTATATATTTAATGTTTTGTATTTCTGATTTCTCTTTGTAAGATATTTGATTAATATTTTACAAATAGTTTCAGGATATTTTATTATATTATTATTGATTATTATTGTTATCTGTAATCACTTTATTGTTCTTTAATCTGTTTGATGAGCTATGCAGCCACAGAGACACATGTTCTTTTAATGAGGACCCTGAATATAACAACATTTACCATATTTACATCATGATCTGATAATAATAATAATCATAACCATAATCATAATTTATAATCATAATAATAAATAATCATCATCAACAATAATAAAAAAGTTCACAGGTAAATATCTTCTCCTATACTTCTGAGGACCCTCACTGACCTCAAACCTGAATCTGACCCACATTCCTGAAGTCTAGAACCCACCAGTCCTCTCTTTACAGAAGCTCATTGTAGACTCTGCAGATCCTCCTGATTCTGATCCTGATTCTGA